AGAAAGTGCCCTTGACCCCACATATACCATGAGGTCCAACCAAGAGGAAATTTTTCTGGGCAGCCAAGAACTCTATGACCCAGCTGATGTGGAGTTTACAAAAGAATCCCACACAGACAGACAAACTGGACCTGCTGTGGAGGGATGCTGTACCAGTAAGCAGTGAATAGTATAAATGGTACATTAATTTTTAGATAATGAAACTAAACTACTACTCATTGACACAATAAAGAACCAGTATTTTTGGTAATTTTATTTTTAAATATTATGTTAAACAGTGTCCAAATATTTACAATACAGTAAAAAGTTGATTAAAAAGCAATTAAAATAAAATATCTGAAATTAATTTATAAATCAGTTCACAATGGAATCTAAAACAGCCTACAGTAGTATTTATATTCGGGTAGCACCAATGAGCCCCAACTGAGATTGGGGTCCCACTACACTACTGTGTAGTTTTACAACTTCTTAAAGGTATAATCCTTTAAATATACCCTGTACATGAAGCTCCCTCCAGTATGATAGCCAGTCAGTCAGAAGGAATAGCTCTTGAATATCTTTGCTTTCTTTTCAGATTGGGCTATTTCTTGTCCTTTTTGTTTTGGCTAGGCACTAGGACCAGCTCTGGGAGTGCCCCCTCTTCTTCATTTGCTCTGACAATGTCTTGTAGATGTCTGCATTCTGGTGACTCTTCTCCACATGGGACTAGACATGCTTCTCTCCAAAGAGGGCAATCGAGTCTTGCAGCTCTGCAGAGGTCTACCCAGGACAGGGGACATGGCTGCTATAAAGGTTATGTGACTGTGTGTGATTTCATCACTATCTAGTATCGAAAAGGGGCACACTTGATTGCCTGCCAGCATTTAAACTAAGAGGTAACATACGGTCCAGGAGCACTGCAGGGTGCAGGTGTGAAGCAATGGAGTATAGGATAGCAGTGGAAGGACTGCCAACAGTAGACTAGTTAGGAATGTGTCCACACAAACCTTAAGGCAAACAAACTCACTCTGACATAGAGCTACTTCTGTTCCAACTTACTGTGGCCTAAGATGCCAAATAATCTGCTTTTTTTAAAGGGTTGTGTGTGGATGCAAGGCTCTGTAGTGTGAACAAACTAATGTTACTCAGATGTAACATCCCGATGTAGACAAGCCCTCGCTTTCAGATCACTCCAGCAGCCCTCCTATCTATATCCTCTTATTTCTTCTCTATATCCTTCCAATTCCCTACATTCTGCCAAAATGTCTCTACTATTCCCTCACTTTCTCCCTCCTGGAGTTGTGCATTTTTCATGCCCTTGCAACTCCTTATACTTAGACCCGCCTCCTGATGCATATAGGCTGAAATCACTTCTACTTCTCCTTTCTTTCTGAAGCTTTTTGTCAAGCCTTGCCACTCATTCTTTCTTTGTCTACATTAGCACCCACAGCATCGCTAAATCTCACAATTGTATCATGAGCCTGTAAACTCCTGGATTACATGAGCATCTCAGCTTTTATAATATAAAAAGTAAGTTTCTAGTCCTCATGGTTGCGGAGAAAAACTTGCAAATGTGAACCCTAAAAGCTCAAAACAAAAAGAGCTAAAAATGTATTATTTTTAAAACTCTTGTGATTTTTAAATCAATTGCACGTTAGTATAAATAACTTCTATAATAAATACTGTATGTTAATGTTTGCAGTTACTTTAATATATTTTTCCATAGTAAATTCACCACTATGTCAATACTGTTCATGCTGATAAAAGTTTGAAAGAGAAAACCCTTTAACTGCATTTGCAAATTACAGTAGATATAGGTTCCTCCTTACTACAAAAAAATATTTGTAAAAGTACAGTTCTAGTGAAACATGGAACACTGATCTCTCATTGGGTGTTTTCCTCTTAAGTGGAACATTATTTATACATCAAAGAGAAAAAAGGACATATTTATGTCCCTCCAGGGCACAGGGAATGAAAATCATTGTGTTGATATTTTAATACAAATTACTTCCTGCATTTTTAAGTGACAGAAATATGAATATTCATAGACTCACAAGGCCAAATGATCTCTCCACTACATGGCACAGAAGGGAGCACAAAAGAGGAAAAGGGTTTGGAAAGCCCGCAAATCAGCTGTGCGTCTGCATGGGGGTTGGTAAGTGTTGTCTGCTTCACCCTGCCCCTTCCTTCTGAATACAGCACAGTTTGGAATCTGTAGAATTGGGTATGGGAAGTTTTGAAGCAGAGGGGGTGGAGCCAGGCAGCAGCTGCTCTATGCAGCATGTTACTCTCCAAATCCGGTGGATCCATGCAGGAATTAACACTGCTTTAAGCAGTATTCCCTTTCCCACTGTGCATTCTACCACCTCCCCAGGCCCTCCACAGAATGTGTCTGGATCTGTAGCTTTTCTTCCACACAAATCCTAAGGTTCTCCAGCGTTTGAAGACTGTCTTCTGTCCCCCTGTCCTGTCCCCAAATGAAAATGCAGCAGTAACTCTGCAGGTTTTTTTTAAGTTTACTCACTCACCCAGGAGCTTTTTGTGGAAAAGGAACATTCAGCCCTTAAGAACTAGAGATTGGGGGAAAAAAACAGAGATTTCTACACATCTGCTGTACAAAGTGGGCTGAGGTCTAGGTGGTGGCAACTACATGCCACCTGGGGGCTCTGCAAGCCCAAGAGATCTATACATCCTAAATTCAGGCTATGCAAAGGAATCAAGATCTTTTGTTGTTATGAAAAGCGCTGTGCGCTTGCACTAGGCCCACTTTACTGTTACTTTTTTTGCAGGTATTTCTGTTGTATCTGAGCACCTCACAAACACGAATGAGTTAAACAAATGAGTTAAACAAAACGCCCCTGCAAGGAAGAATAGTAACCCCACTTTACAGATGGGGAAATAGAGGCAGAGAGATATTAAGTGACTTGCTCACATAGGAAAGCTATCACAGAGTTCAGAATAGAATCCAAGTCATTTGGCTTCCAGAGCCACTCCCATTCCTGTATCTCAACCATAAGACTATCTCGTCTTGCTTAGCTGTATCTGTTATGCAGAGGTGCCAGGTTTGTGTATGCATGTATGCATTTTTATATTGCATGTGTGTTCCCTATGGTTTGGTATGCGTGTGTCTTAGTTATTCATTTTTTTATTATAGTTAACAAACAGGAAGTTGTTTGTCAAAATCTGACAAAGTAGATCAGTATTAGCTTTGCCACATGGTAACTTTGTCAACCAGAAAATTTCAAACTTGATATAAAGTTATATGTGTAACTTTTACTCTACATGGTATGTGAATATGTACTAGTGCATTACACTAGCACACTCACCACCAGAACACTTTTTTGTATTTTGGTATATTGTATATTTTGTGTTTGTTTGGGTGCATTGGGTTTTGTTTGTTGTATTGAGTGTTGTGCTTGTTTTGGTGTATTGTATGTGCATATTTGTTTTGAATTTACGTGTATTGTGTGTGTTTTGTGTATGTTTGCATCTTTGAGTGTATTATAAATGTATCGTGTGTTGGTATTGTGTTCTGGCTATTGTGTGTGTTGGTGTATTATGTATGCATTATTCTTTGTGTCATGTGTGGATTATGTTTGGATATTCTGTGTGTTTTGTATCAGGACTGTGTGTTATATACAGTTACATGTACTTGTAGATCATGTTTGGGTATTGCATGTGTTGCAATCTGTAGTATCTGGGTCATATTTGAGTGTTGCCTATTATGGGTGTGTGTTTTGTATTGCTAGGGGTACTGTGTGGGTCATGTCTGGGTTGTGTAGTGTGTGTGTGTGTGTGTGTGTGTGTGTGTGTGTGTGTTTGTTGGGTATTGCTGTGGGCTCTGTTTGGATGTTGTGTAGGGTCTGAATTGGATGGTGTGGGTCACGTCTGAGTGTTGCCTATTGCTATGTGTACTGTGTGGGTCATGTCTGGAGGTTGTGTAGATTGTGTATTGCTATGTGTATGGTGTGGACCATGTTTAGGTATTGTGTATTATGTGTGTGGGTTGTGTACTGTGTGGACCATACCTGTTGCTGTGGGGTGGTTATCAGTGGTATGGGCCATGCCCAGTGCTGCGTGGTTATTGGCAGCGTGGGCCGTGCCCAGTGCTGTGTGGGGTGGTTATCAGCGGCGTGGGCCATGCCTGGTGCTGTGTGGGATGGTTATTGGTGGCATGGACCGTTCCTGAAGATGTGTGGGATGGTTATAGGTGGCATGGTCCATAGCTATAGATGTGTAGGGTGGTTATCGGCTGTGTGAGCAATGCCTGTAGATGTGTGGGGTGGTTATTGGCGCCATGGGTTGTGCCCAGTGCTGTGTGGGGTGGTTATAGGTGGTGTGGGCCATGCTCAGTGCTGTGTGGGGTGGTTATAGGTGGCGTGGGCCTTGCCTGTAGGATGTGTGGGGTTGTTTCAGGTGGCGTGGGCAGTGACTGTAGATGTGTGGGGTGGTTATCGGTGACGTGGGCTGTGCCCAGTGCTGTGTGGGGTGGTTATTGGCCGCGTGGGCTGTGCCTGTAGATGTGTGGGGTTGTTTTAGGTGGCGTGGGCCGTGACTGTAGATGTGTGGGGTGGCTATTGGTGACATGGGCCAATAGGTGCTGGAACTAGGGGTGTGCTGGAGGTGCTGCTGCACCCCCTGGCGTGGAGTGGTTCCCATTATATACAGGGTTTACACTTTGGTTCAATGGCTCTCCGCACCCCCACTATACAAACTGTTCCAGCAGCCCTGCCTGTTTCTCTGGGGTGATTACTAGTGTTGTGGGCCATGCTCAGAGCTGTGGGCTGTGTGCGTTGGCAGGTTGTGCCGGCTCCGGCGGCGCTGCAGGGGACTCCCTCCCGGGCTGGGCTGCCGCAGGTTCCCCCGCTGGGACCGGGCAAAGGCGCTCCCATCTCAGGCGATGCCGAGCGGTGCCAGGCTCACCCCGGAGCCGGGGCCCTTGTGCGGCTGCCGCCGTTCCTGGGCTCCCCGGAGCCGCCCCGCCCCCGGGCTTGGGGCAGCCCTGAGCGCACAATGACACCGGTCCGGCACGGGGAGCTCGGGTCAGGCCCCGAGGCCGCCGCCACCAACCGGTGCCAGCGAAACCCGCCCTCCGGGAGCGGCGATGGTGACCCCTCCTCAGAGTCAGCCAACGACGCGGCCAGGGAAGGGTTACGCGTTAATCTTGTGGCTGTTCCAGCAGCCGCGGAGGGATACGGAGCCGAAGCCTTGAACGTGGTGCTGCGGCTCCGCAAGCAAAAAAATGTCTGCCTAGGGGAGCCTACAAGTTCCTTCTAGCGGGGGGCGGGGTGGCCGGCTCTGCCTCCCACCCAGCGGCCCGGCCGCTCGCGAGCGCGGCCCTGCTGGGTTCGGACGTCACCGCGGGGAAGGAGGTAAATTTGGGCAGGGAGGGAGAAGTTGGGATAGAATCGGGGATGGGGGCTGCGCTGGGGCCGCACTAAGGGCAGGGGGCCAGAGGGGGTGCAGTGGGTCTTGCTGGTGGGTAGAGGGGGTGCACTGGGGGCAGGGGGCCGTGCTGGGGGGTAGCGGGGGTGCACTGGGGGCAGTGGGTCTTGCTGGTGGGTAGAAGGGGTGCACTGGGGGCAGGGGGCCATGCTGGGGGCAGAGGGGGTGCACTGGGGGCGTGCAGGGAGGGGAGGGGAGGGGGTGCATTGGAGCAGTGGGTCTTGCTGGGGGGCAGAGGGTGCACTGGGAGCAGGGGCGTGCAGGGGGCAGAGGGGTGCATTAAGGGGGCTGTAGTGGCGGCCAGAGGGGTGCATTTGGAGCTAAGGGGCTGCTGGGGGCCCCAGGGAGCTGCTGGGGGTAGGGAGGCTGCAGAGGGGCTGCTTTAAGGAGCACAGGGCGACACTGGTGCTGGGAGGCGGGGGCAGGAGCTCTGCTGGGGGCTAGGGACTCTTCTGGGTCCGTTCTCTCAGTCTTGTCGGGGGCTCTGGCAGGGCTGTAGCGGGCAGCAATTCTCCGGCTCGTGTTTTTGCGCCCCGGTCCCTGTGCATGGGCTGTCAGGAAAGGAAGCGCCCCACTAAGCTGGCGCTCCTGGGAGGACTGGAGCCCTGAGCACTCGTTAAACTCGCAGGGGCTGGGAATGCGGCACCGTGTGTGTCCCGTCACACGCCAGCCTGCTCGGCGCAGGGAGAGGAGCGAGCCCCCAACGCCCCCTCCTCGCCCGGCCGCTGCACTTTGTGTCTTTGCGGTGCAAAGACAGATCGCTGGTTTCAGAGACTATTTATTGTTTGCAGCAGCTTTGGGGCTCCGGAGCTGGTAGTTACAGCAAATTGTGTGTGCGGATAAAGCAAATTAACCCTCTCTGGAAATCAGGCAATAACAATGCTCAAGCAGACATGGCTCTGCTGAGGCACATCCACAGCCCAACTTGTCAGCTCCATTGTTGCGAAAACAGTGAGTCACTTAATCTCTCTCTTTAATTTTCCAGCTTTTGCTCGGTTTATTTATCTGTTTATGCCTTTTACTGGCCCAGGGGCGACCTAACCCTTCCTGTCACTTCAGACTCACTTGTGTGTGTGTTGCCTGAGGTGGAGTAGAAATTGAATGAGAGGAGAGAAGAAAGGAGGCAGAGGAAACTTAAGGAGAGTTGGCTAGTTTGAGAAGCTGCTGCTGGCTGATCTCATCCGTGTGCTCTGTTAAAGTGAGGCTTTCCCTTTGGATTTCCCCTCCCCCCCCCCCATCAGTGTAAGGGATGCGAATGCTTGAGCCCCCTTCTTTGTTAGGGACAGATCTGTCCGTGCACTGAGTGGTGTAGGCACCAGCCCAATGGTAAAGTGCTGCGTGTCTCTTTCCCTCCCTGTGTTTTAGGACTTAATTGAAGTGGATGAAGATGAATCCTCAGCAGCAGCGGATGGCCGCTATAGGAACCGACAAGGAACTGAGCGACCTGCTGGACTTCAGTGCGGTAGGATATTCTTCGAGGTCTTCTTATGGCTTCTCCACGGTAAAGCGAACCGAGAAGTAGGGGCGGCAGCCTGCAGGGCTTGGTTGGGTCCGACTCAGCCAATGTGCACACCTGAACTTTGATGTAATGTCTAGACTTCCAGATTTAATGCTCTAATACCAGCTGGGTCAATTGGTTTAACTGGTTAAAATCGGGCTGACCCGGAGATGCATAATCTAATAATTAATCTTTGTTAAGCCAGTGTGTGGGACTGAGAGTTTGCGGGGGGTTTCTTGTTCCTTTAAAGAAATGTAACTTGCTGGTGCCTGAAAGCTGCAAGGATCTCAGTTGATACTTTGCCTGTAATTTCCAACCCAAGATTGCAAAACAAAGTATTTTCTCTGTGATGCTTTTTTTTTTCCAGACTGATTTTTCTTTCAAAATATATAATTAAAAAAAAATAGAAAAATAGTGCCTCTTGCAAATTGGCTATTAATTAAAGTTATACAGTGCCTTTAGATCTCATAAAATAACAAGCTGTATATTTTGAGCAGTAGAATTTATGATGTATAATAAAGACTTTAAATTACTGTAATAATCTCCGGTTTTCCTGTTTACATTGCTTGCTTATACAATAGAGAGTTTAGTAGCATTAGTGAAACTGCAAAGATCATTCTAGATTACTTGTTTTATGGTTCTTCTGAATGTATGTCTTAAAGCCTGTTTTCTGGCAGAAATATAGGCCAGTGAACTGTCATATGTTGAATTTTTTTAGCCCACAGACAAGATTTATAAAATGGGGATTTTGTTGTTAACTTAAACATCTGTTGTTTTTGTTTGTTTGTTTTGCAGATGTTTTCCCCACCTGTTAATAGTGGGAAAACCAGACCAACTACATTAGGAAGCAGTCAGTTCAGTGGATCAGGTAAGATGCTGTTGAGAAACCTAAAGTTCAAGTCACTGAATTTAGATATTTTAGTTTGGTGGTTTTTGTATGCAGGAAAAAAAAAACAAAAAAACTAATCTTTCAGTTGCACACATGTTCTTAAATTTGACATAATCAAAATAATTGAAGATGCCTTATTTTGACCTACCTGATTTTTTTTAGTATAAAAGGCCCATAGTTGTCTTTCATTGTGGCTTAACGTTCAATTTGTTTGTTCAATTCAGCACAGTGAAACATCAAGTATCTCTAGTGCTACAGACATGCAAGTTGGGTTTTTGATATATGTTGGGTTCAGAATGTCCACTTCTTGCTTTTTGTTTCAGTTTTGCTAAATTTGAGCCATGTCTTTGAACATACCATTTTAATGTGTTACCATAATATATTAATAATATATCAAATAATGAAATAAATCCTGAAAGACTTGTGAATTTATTTTAAATATCCATCCCTATGAAAATGATCAATTATAGGATTAATACTTTACTAAATAACGTATGTATAAATACAATCAGAGTGAAATAACTTTATAAATAAGTGGAAAAATTATGCATGCATGTTTATGTATTGGTCATGTTCTAATGTGGAAGTCTAATTTTCTAATAGCTGCTTCATGTTGATATAGCGGAACTCTGGCCCGTAGAACAAGTCTAATTTGTTCATTAATACAAAAATTTACAGTATGTGGAATTTTTTAAAATACACCTACATTTTAAATGCTTAATTTTTAAAGTCTTCTAGTTTGGCTTCTAAAAAGAAAAGAGGAAAGATAAATTAGGTTGTTAATTTTGGTATGTGTCAATATATTTATCAGAATTGTATACATTTTTAAACAGTAAAGGGAAAATGGTGCCTCTTTTGTTGTCTTCCCCCTTTCCCCTTCACAAAGTTCTCTTTGGAGCCTGTTTTGGTACAGGAAATTACAATTTCCTTGTTCTCTGTATCCTTCTGAGTTTTGGCAGATACGATTCTCTCTCGTTAAGCCTTGTCAATACTGCTATGAAAACCAAATATATTAACAAAAATATGTTGGATTTATTTCACTACTTTGTGCCTCTTTTGTTCTTTACTGAGAGAGTATCTGCTCTATATATTGTCAGTTTTCAGAATGTTGGGGACAAACCTGTAATATGAACTATAAGGTCAACTGTATAAAAGTCTTTATACTGTATAGTCCTCAGAAATAATAATCTTTTTTTAAAAGAAACTATACTATTTACTCATGCAGTAGTGATGTTAATTACTTTGTGTATCTTGTATGATTAAAAGAAGGCTTAGTGTTTTTATTTTCAACAAATAAAAAGGTAACTTTGTGGCACTTATTAAATTAACAGTCAAGTATTTCTTTGAAAATAGACTGTAATGTTGTCTGTATATTTTGTATATTGTTAGAGTTGCCAGAGCAGTCTAAATGTATTAATGGTGGCAATATTAAAAAATAGAGTTCTTGTTTAAACTTTTTTCTTGTATGATCTTGGATGATTTAAACTAGGAGATGGGGACTACTCAGTATCTTGAAAGTGAATGACATTTAGAAAAAAAAAAATAAACACACAATAATCTAGAGTCTCAGAAGAATATATTTTCAGAAATTTCCTAAAATATATATGGGATTTTGATGTACTCATTGCATGTTAAAAATACTTAAGTTATTGTAATTGCAGTACAGGTATCTGCATGCCATATGTTGGTTAAACAATCTTTCATGCAAACCTTCAAGTGAATCTCTTTCCAAAAATCTGCATCATAAGTGGGGTATGTAGCTTCCCCCCAAAACTATCCTACATCAATTGGGTACATCTTACAAATATAGCTAGTAAGAACTTGCTATGAAAATCAAATGTTACATGGTCAGGAATGGTCTAGATAATACTTACTCCTGCCTTGTGTCCAGGGGACTGGACTAGAAGATCTCTTGAGGGTCCCTTCTAGTCCTACAATTCTGTGAGCCTTTCTTTAAATTTGAGAGGTGCAAAGTGACAGGGTTTGTATTATGGGAAGGACAAGGAGATGTTTAGTTTTTTTTGGTTTCCCCTTCTTCTTAGTTTGTTTTTCCTGGATAAGTAAATTTTACATCCATGTCAAACAATAAATATTTAGTGGTCAATATAAATCTTAAAAGATACCAGTCAGCGGTTGGTGAGTCTGTTTCCAGGCCTGCTTCTAGGCAATGATTCTCCCAGAAAAGAGCGAACACTAAAGGGTTTAACCAGAAAAGCACAATCTTTTTTTTTTTCTTTTTTATTGGGAAGCCTAATCTTGTCTGATGTGTGAGATCATCACGGAGATACTATGCATGAGGGAATTAATTACTCTGTCTCTCAAGCTACAACCTCAACAGAAGCCACTTCCTCATGAGCAGGATAATGGGATATTGTATGCCAAACTATCACTTACACCATTCTCATGTAAGAATAACGACATCTAGTAATACTTAACCAGATACATTTTAATTCACAGTGTTTCTGGTTGTAGGGACTGTATGGTTATAGATTCTCAGTTCCCCACTGCAAAGCAATCTGTTATATAGATTCTGTGTTCCCTGTACTGTTACAGTGACCTCAGCCTTGACCTAGAGGGATTACTCTCTGCAGGACTGAGAGGTGATGAACTCTATATTAGCTCAGTTCTAGGACATGGTTAGATATCCTAGAGATGCCTTTTTGAGAAGATTGACAAAGTGGAAGTAGTACAGGTATTTAATTTCTGACACCCAGGTTTAATTCTGCATTGTAATCTTGATTTAATTTTAAGAATATTCTGTAGTTTGTAGAATAAATGTTTGAACACTGTTTGGTTTTTTTTACTACTAGAGACCAAATTTAAAAAACCGGAAAGGAAAATATTTCTTCAGGTCCCTTAGGGGTATTCAGTACCAAGAAACACATTTATGCATGGATTTGTAAAACAATTTTTTACCATGGAGAATGTAGCCATGTCTATTTTTAAAAGGCTTATTTATTTTTGACTTAATACACAGAATTTGAGATAGACATAAAAAGGTTATATTTGTTTGACTCAATGCTTGTGCTTGCAATTATGCCTTTCTGGATTACTTTGTGAAGATGTTACTTCCTTTACTATTTTGCCATTTTAAAAATAATTAGCTTTTTCTCCTTTTTCCAAACGTCCTGTCTCCTCTAGGCTAGGGTGTTGTTTGTTTGTTGAAACACTTCTTAAATTTCCAGTTAAAATCTACTAAAATGAAAGATAAGTGTTTCAGGACAAAAAATTTAACCTCTCTGTGCCAGTCGTAGAAAGACAAACATAGGTATTTATGAGTCTACAAAGTTCTTGTTGAGATTTGTTTCAAGGTACAATCCTAGAAACTATAAATTAGAAGGATGGGAAAATGCCTGCTATGTTAGTTTATTTGGTTGTTAACGGGAAAACTAACAAATGTCCAAGAATGTCTGAGTGCCTCTTTTTCACATTTTAGCTTCTCTAGGTGATGTGGATGGCAGGTGCAAGTTGACGATCTTAGTGTTGCAGCAAGTATGATATGATTTAATACAGCCATGTTTCAGTCATCGGTTATATACTTTTGTAATGTGTAACTGAATATAATAAAACAGCAAGTCAGGGTACTGTGACTGAAATATGATGTTTGGCAGGGAGGTACCATAGGTTAACACATGAATGTTGTGTTTTGGGATGTTAGAAGATAAGGTGTTTAGGAATTTGAGAATTAAACTGCTTGGTGGGTATGTGGAATTTGTGGGGTCAGAGTGTTTTTATTTTTGTTTTGCTTTTTTGGGTGGAGGGAGGGAGAGAGTTTGCCTTCTAAAGGCTCATCATTTGTGAATGAAAGCTACAGGTGAAATAAGTGAATCTGATACATCATTATATTTTATGACAGTAAATCATGTAACTTGCTGATAATGTCAAATAATTTAATCAGATTAGTGATGGGAGTGAATATATTGAAAAAATAACCTGATACAAAATAAGAATGGCAGTTAAATTGCAAAAATACTTTGCTATTGCTGTCTCCTGCTAAAACAAAACAACCTCCTCTCACCCCCACACCCCCGTTGCTTTCATTCTCTCTATTTCTGCAGTCTCCAAGATAGAAACTGCTTACATTGCCCAGGACTTTCTGTACTGGAATTTAAAATTTTTTTAACTAAAAATGTTTCTATGATGGCATGACAGCAGGGAAGCATGATTTAGAATGTAGTAAAATGAATGGCCAGAGGCCCATCCATCAAAACCAGATAAGTCAAGTATTCCAAACCTGGATGGCTACCTTTACCTGATTCTCTAGTCAGAAATATGGAGGGACTCCCATTAAAGGCCATTTGTAATAGGCAAATGCCTGTCTTCTACAATATAGTAGTGTTTCTGTGGTTCCCTTAAATAGTCAAAATGTTGGACATCTGTTGCCTATGTAATTGGTTTGACGCTGAGGTCTTTGAGAAACATGTGTACACAATTGCAAGTGTAAAACTATATGCCCAAGTTGGTGTCCACACTGTGTATGCACACACAAACCTTTTCCCTCCTCTCTCCCTCTCCTGCCCCCTGAAATCAGGTCAATGTGCACAAGATCGTTTTCCTGCTCTAGTCCAAATGTGTGTGTGTGTGTGTGTGTGTGTGTGTGTGTGTATATATATATATATACACACACACACACACACACA